GGTCTGGATAAACGCTATCACAGGGCCCGTCAGTAGGCCTATCAAAGCCAGTGAGGTAAAGGCTTGGGCTGTGTAAAAAGTCTCATGAGTCCAGTAGACGGCTATCACAACATAGACTGCAAAGGTCGCAGCAGGAGCGAGATTCAAGGGTGTGAGGGCTGGCACACTTTGTTAGAATCCTTCGAGGTAGCGGCGAGTTTGAACACATACAGAGCATCAGTGTGGCAACGAGAAGCTCCCTGAACTTTTTGGACGTTTTTATCTCGTTTCTTCGGAGATTGGTCAGTAGTAGCGATACCACATGCGGTAATGCAAGCATTTTGATGGCTTTGATGTCTCCCAGCAAAGACGCGGTCGTTCGCAGCCTCTCTTGGACCTTTTCTATCCATGCTACTTGCGCCCTTTGCGTAGCCACCGATATTTGCGAGGTTATCCCAATGAAGACTTGGCACAAGCATCAGTCTGTGAAGAGCAAAACGACGACGGCAGCACGCAGTCCTTACCTAAAACGAGAGCAATCGGCGCAAGACAGGCCAGGAAGAGCTGCCTTTCCAGCAGCCAGCATGCAATTGCTATATCCACAAGAGAGCCCCAGGTTTCATGAAGCAGCTGCATGGCGCTGGCTATACGTTCGATGTCGGTGCCCATGAGGGTGACGGCAGAGACGTTGCCCTCATCCGCGGCACGAATCTCAAGGCAGCGTTGATACACAAGGGCAATAAGCCCTCCTCTTAGCTTGGTGACGAACCTAGAGGCCTCGTATGTGTATAAAGATCGTGACACCTGCATCAAGGTCATTAGTCCATCCAATCATGTTGGATGCGATTTTGCCTACCGCAAGGCCCAGATATACAAGAGCCCATGCGCCAATGAGCCCTTTTTCGTGGTAAACATTGGCGTTTTTATCACCGACAAGCTTGATGGTGGTATTGACGAGAAAAGGCTGAGCAAAGGTGAATGCTGTTACACACAATCTTGGGAGCATTGCCGAAGGAAAAGTCGAAAGATGGGTGCGAAAGCATGCTCTCAGCAAACTGTGTCGGGCCTTTGGGTCATCTTGGGAGCGGTGTTAGCATTCAGTAGATTGTTGAAATAGACAGAGGTGGCTCACACTTGGACCAAGTTGTGATCAACTGGCGACGCAGCAACCTGCTCTGCAGCCTAGTATCCAGACTCGGCAAATCATCCTGTAAAAGGACTTTGACATAGCCTTTCCTGAGCAAAGGAAAGAGCCAAGAAAAACTGATCCTTGCCCAAATGCCGCTGAACTCTTCCGGCGAGCCGTTTGCCAGGCGCTTTTTCTCTTCGATCGATTCCAGTATGAGGGCGAAGAGTGTGAGAGAAAGATTCACAATCATGAGAATCGGGGCTGGAGTGCCGGCTGCCAGAAGCCATAGTGTCCTAGTCCGAGCGATATTCAAGAGACTGGAGAGTGACAGATACAGATCGAGCACGGTTGAAGGGCGAAGTGATCGTGCATGACTGGCCCTTGATAGGAAGAAGGCCAGCACGGTAGCCGTGGAGCTCAAGATGTCCGCGGGAAGGGAGAGTCTCGTCTTTAATTCGGGAGATTGACCTCTATACACAAGGTAGAGCACCTGCACGATAAGAATCGAGGCAAAAGTCATCTATAGAGAAGCTTGTAAGCACGTCCTCCGATACACCTCCAAAAGACAGCCAGACGAACCGACTTCCATCGCCGAAGGCCCCTCGATCGCACGGTAAACGCAGCTCGCTGCCTGAAGAGGCCCCATATCTGGATGGGCGCAAGAATGAGAAGCAAGGCAGCCGGCACTGTGACGAATAAGATGTCCTCGAAAAGCAGGGTGAAGTCGAACGGTCTGCATCGAGGGTCGACCTGGGGCCCAAAGGACCGATCACTGCCGAAGGGACAGCCCATCTCTTCGAAAGGCGGCATCAGGGGATGTTGATGATGACCTGAGAAGCATCGTGACAAGACATCAACAGCAATTGATAGATATCGAAAGCTGGAGGCTGGGCTGGTGGACGCGCAATACAGGAAGCCTTGCAGGGAAGCTGTACCTTCACGACATGATGCAGGTTGTATGACATCAGTTGCCTTGCATGTACAGGTACAAGTGGAAGAGCTAGCGACGACGCCGTCTCAGGGCATTGCAGCTCAGGTCCCAGCGGGGTCGAGGTGTAAATGGCCGAGTCGCATGCAGGTGCCTTGAGCAACATCGAGAATAGTTACAGGCCAGGTATCAGTACATTTAGCAGAGGATGTGTAGCTGAGAATGATACGCGTCTTCTCCTTGCATTGCTGCAACCTTTCATTTGAGGACTGTTCATACGTTTATCATCTACACGTTTCGACGCGTTGTCTCTCTTGCTACACGAATCCTCCAATACCTACTTATGTGGTGCTGGCCTCCGATCTTCAACCATATGCGTCCTTTCCTTTCTTCTAATGAGTTCTTTGGCATCTCAGCACAGAGCATAGGTCCCGTATATGCTCCGAAGAGCCTTATACGGCCATGCCGCTTGTCTGCTTGCACCGGCTCTTACAACGCTTGATTTCCCTCCGTTTCTGAAAGAAAACGCTATTTCAAGCATATGCTGTAGATGCCGAGATGATAAATGCCATCACGGTTCTGCGAACAAGAGAAAAGCAGCAAGGATCCTCGTCCCTCAGCGCGTCGTCACTGTTGCCTAAAGCCGTCCGAATCCGCTCCAGCGATCCACGGACAAGAGTAACAGAACTGAACACAGCGTGAAGGCTACCTCCGAAGCAGTTCGGTATTGATAATGACGCTTTGATGCTGCGATAACCGGCCGCAAGAGGTCACATGCCACACAACGTACTATTGTCTTGATGCTGTACGCTGACTTGGCTGAGCACGTATGCAGAGCTGTGGCAGTGACAAAAACAGAGAGAAGGTGTCGAGCGATTGCCTGTTGTTACAGCAAATCAATGACTGGCTGGACATGTCACAACGGTTTTGTGTAAGTTTGAGACATCGGATGGCGACCCGGAAGTGCCCGCCACTGCATACGCAGTGTGAGTAGTAGCAACATTATCAAGCCTGTCAAGTTTCATGCCATCCGTCTCTCGAAAGCATGGTCGATGCATCCCCATGCCGCATGACATGTGACGGCAGCCAAACACAAATAGCCATGGCACAATAAGATGGATGCTCTGTTATTATGCCTGACAAATATGAGGCGAGACATCCACGATTCCTCACGTGAAATCCTATAGTCAGCATGAGCGAAGTATAACCGAGCAATGCAGGCTGTGAGTAAGCCTCACATCGTATGCTCTCATCGACAATGTTTATAAAAACTCAGTCAGGGCACATGCTGCCTCGAGCAGGCGAACCGTCAGCTCGGCAGCTTGGGGGCCGCTTAAGTGAGTGAGTGAGCGAAAGTGTGAGTGAGTGTCTCACCCGCCCACCTGGGCTTGACGGCCTCG